ACTGACGCGTCTCTCCCCTGGGATAACCATCGTAAGTTGTCATCTCAGTGTCAGCTTGCTCTGCTCGCCTCCTCTCTGCTGACATCAATACAGACATTCAGCCAAGACGAACCTTTACATTTATTGCAGTGTATTTAAAACAACAGACTTCTTGACGTCTCTGACTTAGTCCCCTTTGGTCTTTAAATATACCACTGGAAGCATTATTATATCTGTTCAAGAAGTATAAAACCCCTCTTCAGCCTGTGATTGGACAGTGAAAGGAGAACCAGCACAGTGATGAGCTCATCTCTCTGTCACTCGCCTCTCCTATCAGTACTTGTACTGCTTCTTCCTTTCACACACCAGCCCTGCTGTACAGGGAGTACAAGAGGCTCATACCGGGTCAAATTAAAGTGTTACTAAACCCAGGGCCCTGCATTCACTATATCCGGTCTCCGCGGCGGACCCTGCATTCACTAGATCCGGTCTCCCCGGAACCTGCATTCACTAGATCCGGTCTCCCCGGACCCTGCATTCACTAGATCCGGTCTCCCCGGACCCTGCATTCACTAGATCCGGTCTCCCCGGACCCTGCATTCACTAGATCCGGTCTCCCCGGACCCTGCATTCACTAGATCCGGTCTCCCCGGACCCTGAATTCACTAGATCCAGTCTCCCCGGATCCTGCATTCACTAGATCCGGTCTCCCCGGACCCTGCATTCACTAGATCCAGTCTCCCCGGATCCTGCATTCACTAGATTCCGGTCTCCCCCGGATCCTGCATTCACTAGATCCGGTCTCCCCGGACCCTGCATTCACTAGATCCAGTCTCCCCGGATCCTGCATTCACTAGATCCGGTCTCCCCGGACCCTGCATTCACTAGATCCAGTCTCCCCGGATCCTGCATTCACTAGATCCGGTCTCCCTGGACCCTGCATTCACTATATCTGGTCTCCCCGGACCCTGCATTCACTATATCTGGTCTCCCCGGACCCCGCATTCACTATATCTGGTCTCCCATAGTACACAGGACATGGAAATGCAATTATGTTAGTAAATATAAACTACTAAATACCTTTTCTCAACAGCAGTTTTGTGACTTCAGCAGAGCACTGGTTAAAGCTTAAAGAAGGATTTTTCTTTCTGCTCTAAGAGGATGTGAAACCTCTGACCCTCTGTCTGGAAAGTGATTGGCCCTGTGCTGATCACATGCACCCTCCCAACAAAGAAAAAAAAAAAAACACAACCAAACTGAGCATGTGCATGTGACCACGGATTCAATCTGTATCAGATGGTCATTTGAACAAGAGGAGGAGCAAATAAGTCAGGATCAAACAGCCTATATACTCAGAGGATTAACCCCTTAGGTTCCACAGTGAGTATAACAAGCATGCTTTACTGCATATACAGACTGATTTTACTGTTGTGGGTTAGTAACACTTTAAGGTACTTACACTGCTTGTATTTATAAAGTTATCTCATGATGTATTAATGATTACAGCTTTAACCTGTGTTTTTTATATCTGCCTGGAGTTCAGCTTTAAAGCAGTATTAAACCCAAAAGCAATCATTTATTATATTGCAGCTTACCAATTTACCACAGCCATGCAAAGCAGTGTGCTTACAGTGAAGCACAGGGACACAGCACACAGTGAAACAGCACAGTTAACCCTCTGTTCACTCCTCATGCAAACCAATTCCTTCCCAGTGCCATTAGCACAGTGTCAGTGATTTTTTTTTTTTTTAGCACTGATCACTGTATTGGTGTCACTGGGGATGTCAGTGACACCAAGAATTGATGGCAGCATTCATTTAATTTTGTAGGCTCTCTTTTTTTTATTTTTATCTGGTGATCTAGCCAATAGGTCTGTCGTTTTTCAAAAGAGCGAGCTCTCCAGCAGAATGTATCGGTTACAGAGATGACAGAAACCATTTCCCGCTGGCAGGGGTCCTTACAATACTCAGCTTTCATTGATGTAAATCCTTTATCCCAAAAAAAAAAAAAAAAACGGTTTTCTGTAATGTATTCTAAAGCTGGAGTTTGGCTTCAATGTGTTATGTATGTAAAGGATAGGCCCACCTTTGGGAGCATGTTACAGCCATGTTTAGGGGGTGTAACGTGTTCCAGCATGTACTGATCACGTGTTTCCAGGTTTCTGCCTGAAAAACAATAAATGCAAATTCTTTTCTGCAGAAATATGTGCATTTAATATTTTTTCTGAAAAAGATCAACTTAGGCTGCTTTCCCACCACTGCATTTTTTCTTCTGTTTTTGCATTTAAAAAGAGCAGAAGAAAAAAGCATGAGCATAAAATCCTATGGAACTCTTCACACGGGTCAGTTGCGGGTCCATTACATTTCTCAAAGTCCTGCTTGCTGCATTTTTTGTGCAAGTTTGGCACAGTAAAAAAAAAAATTCACAAAAATGTTTAATGCTTGCATTTTTAAAAGGGGTTTCAAAATGTTGCATTTTTCAAAGTCCTGCTTGCTGTATTTTTGGTGCATGTTTGGTGTAGTAAAAAAAAAAAAAAAAAACGCACCAAAAAGGTTTAATGTTTAAAAACAAAAATGCCCCAAAAATGCACTTTACCATTAAAATGAATGGAAAACACAACAAAAGCATATCAAAAATGCACCTATGGGTGAGTTTTTTTTTTTGGGTCACTTTTTTTTCCACAGGTGTAAAACACACAGGGAATGCAGTGAAAACACAGCAAAGTGCACATGCGTTTTTACCGAGTTTGTGAAAGGGAGCAGCCTTAGCCTTTAACTCTGCAAGCCCATCTCCCCTCCCTCCAGGCTGACATTGCTGCAGTCCACAGATGCCCCCTGTGCTCCTTCATCCAGATTGGAGGGCACTCTAATACAGGAAGTGTGTTACTGGCCAGATCACCAGGTAAAAACAGAAGGAAAAAAGCCAAAGAAAAGAAAACTAATGCAGCCACCACATCTAATGAACGGTAAGCTGCAATATATATTTCATTGTTGGTTTGGGGTTTATTACCGCTTTAAATCATTATATGTATATTAACCGCTTGAGCCCCAGAGGATTTACCCCCCTTAATGACCAGGCCTTTTTTTGCTGTTTGGCGCTGCACTAATTCAAATGATAATTGCGCGGTCATGCAATGCTATACCCAAACACAATTTACGTCCTTTTTTTCACACAAATAGAGCTTTCTTTTGGTGGTATTTGATCACCTGTGCGCTTTTTATTTTTTGCGCTATAAACAAAAAAACCACAAAAATTTTGAAAAAAAAAAAATATATTTTCTACTTTCAGCTATAAAAAATATATCGTAAACTCAAAGTTAGTCATAAATTTAAGCCAAAATGTATTCTGCTACATGTTTTTGGTAAAAAAAAAAAAAATCCCGTGCATTAGCGGGGCAAACTGGCGCTATCTAGGAGGGGCGCTAACACTATCGGAAGTCACCAGTGACACTAATACAGTGATCAGTAAAAATCTGTTCACTGTAATCAATGACACTGGTGACAGGGCAGTGAAGGGGTTAACTGGGGGGGGGGGCGATCAAGGGGTTAAATGGGATTTCTGGTGCACTAGCGGGCAAACTGGCGCTATCTGGGAGGGGCGCTAACACTATCGGAAGTCGCCAGCGACACTGATACAGTGATCAGTAAAAATTGGTTCACTGATCAGTGACACTGGTGAAGGGCAGTGAAGGGGTTAACTGGAGGGGGGGGGGGTGATCAAGGGGTTAAACGGGATTACTGGTGTACTGGCGGGCAATCTGGCGCTATCTGGGAGGGGCGCTAACTCTATCGGAAGTCGCCAGCGACACTGATACAGTGATCAGTAAAAATCGGTTCACTGATCAGTGACACTGGTGACAGGGCAGTGAATGGGTTAACTGGGGGGGGAGATTAAGGGGTTTAAATGGGATTACTGGTTGTACTAGCGGGCAATCTGGCGCTATCTGGGAGGGGCGCTAACACTATCGGAAGTCGCCAGCGACACTGATACAGTGATCAGTAAAAATTGGTTCACTGATCAGTGACACTGGTGACAGGGCAGTGAAGGGGTTAATGGGGGGGAGTGATCAAGGGGTTAAACGGGATTATTGGTGTACTGGCGGGCAAACTGGCCCTATCTGGGAGGGGCGCTAACACTATCGGAAGTCGCCAGCGACACTGATACAGTGATCAGTAAAAATTGGTTCACTGATCAGTGACACTGGTGACAGGGCAGTGAAAGGGTTAACTGGGGGGGGGGGGCGATCAAGGGGTTTAAACGGGATTACTGGTGTACTGGCGGGCAATCTGGTGCTATCTGGGAGGGGCGCTAACTCTATCGGAAGTCGCCAGCGACACTGATCAGTAAAAATCGCTTCACTGATCAGTAACACTGGTGACAGTGCAGTGAAGGGTTAACTGGAGGGGGGGGGGGGGCGATCAGGGGGTTAAATGTGTCCTAGAGTGTTCTAACTGTAGTGTAGTGCTTGTGTACTCACTTTTTGGATGTATTCTTCTCTGTCTGGGAACGGAATGTGTCCAGGCAGAGAAGAATGACATCATATCCTGCCCTGTGTATGTCAACACAGGACAGGATAGGACAGGGACCGATCATGTGATTTCAGCCAGAAATCACTGGCTAAAATCTAATGATTGATCCCTCCTGGATCAAATAGTGTCACCCGCGGGGTCGGCGGGAGCGCGCGCGCGCCCCCTGCCGGCGAAAGTGTCGGGAGCGCGGAACCCGTTTTTAAACGTGGTTTTGCGCTCCACTGCCGCCCTGCACACGTATATACACAGTGGCAGGGCGGCAAGCGGTTAACCGCTTTCCGACTGCCCTATAGCAGAAATACTGCTACGGGTGGCACAGGTGCGCAAAATCACGTATATATATATATACATGTGATTTTGCATTTCCGGGTAGGGGGCGCACACATGCTCTACCCACACCGCCATTCGTGCCCAACGGCTGTCAATCACCGGGTCCTGGCCGGTGATTGCCGAGCATCTCCGACGGGGAGGAGAACTATTTGTAAACAAAACAGTTCTCCCTGTCAGCTTGTGCACACTGCTTTAGATGGCTGTGCAGAGTACAGCCATGTAAAGCGGTGTGCTTACAGTGAAGCACAGGGACACAGCACATAGTGAAACAGCACACAGTTAACCCTTTGATCGCACCTCATCTTAACCCCTACCTGCCCAGTGCCATTAGTACAGTGTCAGTGCTGCTTTTTTTTTTAGCACTGATCACTGCATTGGTGTCACTGGGGATGTCAGTGACACCAAATCAGTTACCCCTAGTGCCAGTATGCCCGCCGCAGTCCCGCTATAAGTCACTGATCATTCATAGTAAAAATAAAAAAAATCCCTATATATATATATATATATATATATATATATATGGGCAGCACAGTGGCTTAGTGGTTAGCACATCTGCTGTGCAGTAAATGGGTCAAGGGTTCAATTCCCAACCATGGCACCTCCTGCATGGAGTTTGCATGTTCTCCCTGTGCTTGCGTGGGTTTCCTCCGGGTACTCCGGTTTCCTCCCACACTCCAAAGACATGCTGGTAGGCTAATTGGCTCCTATCTAAACTGTCCTAGTTTCATCCCTGGCCATGCGGGATCTCCTGCATAGTAGGGGTTGGGGAAAGACCTGGCAACCTACCCTGTAAAATAATTGCTAAGAGAATTCATGGAAAAAGTCACTTACAAGTGACGGTCCATGCAATCACCAAGGGTCAGATACGACTGGATAGATAGATAGATAGATAGATAGATAGATAGAATAGATAGATAGATAGATAGATAGAATGACCACAACCTCCAGATATTCCAATAAACTGAAGGCTGAAGTCGTCTTGCACGACTAGATAGATAGATAGATAGATAGATAGGATATAGATAGATAGATCTATAGATAGATAGATAGATAGGATAGATAGATAGATAGATAGATATAGATAGGAGATAGATAGATAGATAGATAGATAGATAGATAGATAGATAGATAGATAGATAGATAGATAGATAGGAGATAGATAGATAGATAGATAGATAGATATAGATAGAAAATAGATAGATAGATAGATATGAATAGATAGATAGGATATAGATAGGATAGATCTATAGATAGGAGATAGATAGATAGATAGATAGATAGATAGATAGGAGATAGATAGATGATAGATAGATAGATAGATAGATAGATAGATAGATAGATAGATAGATAGATAGATAGATATACACATACCGCCATTTGTAGATGCTATAACTTTCACGTAAACCAATTACATTTACAGGTATTGGAATTTTTTTTTAGCAAAGACATGTCACAGAATACATTTTGGCCTAAATTTATGATGAAATTTGTTTTTTTACATTTTTTTACTGGACATGTTTAATAGCAAAAAGTCAAAAATATAGTTTTTTTATAAAAATTGTCAGTCTTTTTTTTTTAGCACAAAAAATAAGAAAAACCACACAGGCGATCGAATACCACCGAAAGAAAGCTCAACTCATGGGAAAAAGGACGTACACTTCATTTGGGTGCAGTGTTGCATGACCGCACCGCGCAATTGTCAAAGTTACGCAGCACTGTAACACAAAAAAATGGCCTGGTCAGGAAGGGAGGGAAATCCTTTGGAGGGCAAGTGGTTAAAACAATGGAGTTTCCTGTGGTCTTTGAGAGGTTACTAACAGGTATGTTCTAGTAAACTGACACCAAACATCCAGTGGAAAAACAAGTAGAATCAGCAAAGCTGGCCAAAACAACCAATCACAATTTTCCTTTGAGCTTCAAAGTGATAGGAACATCCCTGCACTCTCTCTTTTGCATTAAAATCTTAAATCTCATTAATTTGTGAAGTCATTAACATAACCTGAACAAGCACTAATGGTGCAAGCGAGCGATCAATAAAGAAACCTAAGGAGCCATGGGGAAAGGGAGGGAATACAGCGAACACAGCAATTTATTATTAAAAAAGATGTAAACAGTACAAACCAGGGTGGATAAAAATCAATGATTTTTTTAAAAAAATAAGAAAATAAAAAATCGGATTTTTTTTTATTTAAATCGGATTTCTTTTTATTTAAAATCGGATTTTTTTGAATAAAATGCTTTTTGAGGAAAAATATATTACCATCCAAAGGTTATTCCATCATGAAATAAAGATTAGTTTTTTAATTATGTAGAATAAGGCTGTATATGTTTAATTTTTTTGGTAAATAAATTCCATGAATCCATTCACAATGTCATGCTCTTCCAGAGGTTTTTGTAAGATTATTGGGCAGTTTCTCTGCCTACAAGATATTATAACAGATTCTCGGTTTACTTTTGCAGTTCTCAAAACTGAATTTGACTCAGCGGAGATCACATGCCTCTTCTTCACAGCAAAAATGTTATAACATGAACAGAGTTAAGAAAAAGACCTTCATCCTAACTTCTACAAACCTATGAATACAGAATCAACCCCTTCAGTGTGAAGTTTCAAGAAGTTCAGTGAATAGAATAGAAACAATATTTTTTCTGATTGTTTGGAGTGGAATAGATCTGCACAAGAAGAAAGTGAAACTAAGTGTGAGGAGGAAGGGGCTGACAGTCTAAGTTTCTTAAAATATATATATTTTGTTTAGCCAAATTAGTTATCATACATGGATGTTTAAGCAAATCACATCTGCTGGAATGTTATTGTTTCAGTTGAATAAATCTATTTAAATTGTTATTAAGGTAATGATTATTTTTCTCCTTCCTAAGTACGACAGAAAAGTTGTCCAAATATGAATGATTAACCTATTAAACTGGGGATAAAAAAACTAATATGAAAAGTTGTTATTCTAAAAATCTTCATCTACTTGCATATTAAAGTTATACCGGCAAGAATTAGTCTTTATGTAGAAAACTAGGATTTAAATCAAGCCTTACTGACTAGTGATTTAAATCAAATCCACCCTGGAACTAACACCTGTACCAATGTACATCCGCCATCCACCTGTCACTGTAAATGAATTCTGAAACTCAGCAAAAATCATGTCCAGTCCACAGTGACCCATATGCATAATCTGCCTGCTGATTGGTTCAGAAGATATTAACCAGCTGTGGACCGCCCACTGCCTTTTCTACTGCAGGCGGACATGTACATGTGATCCAGCATTTCCGGGTAGGGGGTACTTTCACCCGCTGCCCCATCTGTGCTGTCATTCGGCACAGCACAAGTTGATCAGCAGGTCCAGACCAATGATTTATGGCCAGAACTTGTTGTGCGAGTCACAGTACAGAGCCCTGTGTTTACTAACAACACAGGGCTCTGTGCATTGAGCATTTTTTTCTCCCTGCAAAGCATCTCTTAGCCTGGGTTCACATACATGCAGTGCGGTATATCGCATGTGATTTGCAGAGGAACCGCGAATCACATGGAAGGAGGGAAGGAACATGCGATTTGTGTGCGGTGCGATTGGAGCCATACATTTTTTTTTTTTTAGGTCTGCACTAGAATCGGATTGCATGGGTATTCACACCTATGCGATCCGATTCTGCACATCGTACCGCGTTTTGCCGACTGCTTTCGGGATGTTGTTAACATACACACCCGCAGTGGTTCGCATGAACGGGGTGAGATTCTGAATTCGCACTGAAAATGCTGTGAATTCCGGAGGGCTTAGTAAAAGCAGCACACTATTGCACATAGGTGTACTTTTATCAAGCAGTGGTAAGTGACCACTGCTATGTTCTCAGGCATTCTCAGAGGAGACGGCACTACTCTGAGTGCCTGTTTATGAAGCGGTGTAGATCGCTTCTCCTGATGAGGAAACAAAGCGATCTAATAACTTCAGGATCACTGCTGATCTCAGTTTCGTACACCATAGTTAGGCACACAGTTAACCCTTTGATTATCCCCAGATGTTAACCCATTCCCAGCCAGTGTCATTAGTACAGTGACAGTGTATAGTATTATCAATGACCACTTTATTAGTGTCACTGATGTCAGTTAGTATCAGATTGCCCGCCGAACTATCACAGTTACACTATAAGTCACTGATCACTACCATTACTAGTATAAAAATAAATACAAATTATAGTATATATCCTATAGTTTGTAAATGCTATAACTTTCCCACAAATCAATAAATATACACTTAATGGAATTTTATTTTATACCAAAGACGTAGCAGTATAAATTTTGTCCTAAATTTATGAAGAAAGTTGATTATTTATTATTGGAATTTTTTTTATTGCAGAAAGTATTTCAAAATATCAAAATATTTGTTCATTTATGTAATACAAAATTAAAAACCCAGTGGTGCTCAAATACAACCAAAAGAAAGCTATATTAGTATGAAAAAAAAAATGATATAAATTTAATTTGGGTACAGTGTTGCATGACCATGCAATTGCCAGATAAATTAGTGCAGTGCTGAATAGCAAAAAAATGCCTTGGTCATGAATGGGTTAAAACCTTCCGGATCAGAAGTGGTTAAAGTACAACTAAGGGTGGCCATACATGAAAGTGGGCTGGTTCAGTAGGGACCAGCTGAATTTCGATCTGTGAATAGGCAGGTTGGTTGTACACAAGTTGATCTATCGATCGACTCATGCACAACCAGCCTGTCGTGTTTTTTTCCCAAATAATTAGCGCCGCTGGCTATAGCTGACAGCACTGATCATTGTATTCTGATGGCAGGGAAGGCTCAAAGAACAAAATAGCACAGTGGGAGGGATTCCCCTTTCCAAATGAAATGTGTGGATGGGTAAATCGGATCTTTTTTTTTGGTCAACCTGCTGGTTGAATTAAAAAACACTACAGTACATAGATCACCCAGAGGGGACTTTTTTTTTCTTCAGCAAAAGTTGAGTTACTCTTTACATAAGAAAAAGACTTTCCATGCTCAACCCTGGTGAATCCGGGGGACGTTTTAGCCACTGTGCCACTGTGCTGCTACAATATGCATTTTTGTGGCGTTGCAATAAATGTAACGCAACACATGATGTGTGTAACAGAAACGACCCCAGACTGCACTTGGTACTTCCATTACACTACCGTTTCCCTGTCTGAACACCGACCACGGACACCACAGCAGACCATACAAGACTAGACGACACCAGTCTTGAAGTAAAACCAGAAAATAGACTCCTTTATTTTAACACAGATACAAGATATATACATTCAAGGGAACAACCCCCCTCCCTGCATAATGACACAGGGCGGGGCAATCTACATTTATTAACAAGAGACACACCAACAGACAGTCCCATCAGGAGGGAGGGCTGCTGGAGACACCCCCCACCAAGCCAATACAGATAAACACATACATCCCATAATAGTTTGCTCCCAAGCAAGACACACAATAGAACAATGGGATGCAACCACATGGCATTACACAATCAACAACCCCCCACCCCAATATTAGGACAGATCACCCTGTACTCCATAACAGGCACAGGGTGACTTACACATAAGAGGGATATGGGGAGCCGAGATAGGGGTCTCCCCACCTCTCCAGAGTGATCTGTGTTCCATGGGCCCCCCACCCAAAGTGACTCCCGTCACAATGTGTTTTTGATGCATTTTTGCTGCTATTGCATTTTCCCTATTTCACTTCCCACTATTCAATTTTCATGCCATTTCCAATGCGACTATGCATTAACGCGTTTCAACCAGAAAAGGCCTTAGCCACAGCATATGGAGTTACTGTCTAATTTATATCAGAGTGCTATCGTGTATATCAAGGAAAGGGGGAGGGGGGCTTCTGCCCAGTAAAGTGTATTTATACCCATTCTATGTTTCAGCAAGCAAGAAATAATTGCAAAAACAATCTGTGCAATGGTGCCCACACACATTATAATCCAGCTAGAACGCTTCCTCTTTCGATCACATTTTTGCATCTGAACATTCAGGGAAGGCAGCAAGCGGCGATGTTTTCCATCTTTGCCTTCTGTTCACTTTAAAAGGAATCCTCAGTCGAGGTGGAAAATGTCTTGGTTTATCCAAATGTATTGTTAAAGTCCAATGATAGGATAGAATTACACCCCTCCCAATCCCCTCTGATTGCTGGGTTAAAAAAACGAAAAGATATTCAGTGGTGGGTTCTTCTCCTATCGGTTTCCTTCTTCAGAGATCCTTCTTTCCCAGGTGTCTCTGTCTCCGGCTGCATAATGTGTAAAATTTCCATTGGACCAGCAGAGGGATCCGCTTAGGATCCAGAAGAGGACTGACATCATACCGAGAGGAGTGAAGGGGACCGGTTGGTGTGTGGTGCTGGATTAGTGGTCCCTGCAGGCAGTAATGGCGTCGGCAAGGCC